CTTGGCAATTTCATGACTGCTCCAGTTGATTGCTATATAGAGAATTGCAAAATCATTAAGGGTGGGGTTTTACCATCTGACTTACAGTACAAACCATTTCTCAAAATAACCACAACAGTGCAAGACTGATGTGTAATTTACGTCACAGTATGTTTTTATGAAATAGTTTGTGGCGTATTCATATAGATTTAGGACCAAATCTCTCTGTCTCTCTCTTTTTAATCGAGCTTTTTACTTTTTAATATTTTCCACTCCTTGCCTTGGCTTGCCTCCACTTTAACAGCTTCAGTGAGAAAAAAATAACTGATCTTTTTTTCAGCAGTTTAACTGCAAGTGTATTTTGTTCTTTGATGTATACATTTGTGCTAACTTAACTGCCTTGGGAGAGATTTAGATTTGTGGTAGTAGGATACATTGCACAAAGCTGGAACAGAGAATTGAAAAAGTTGATGCACAAGTTCAGAATTTTAAACACCAATTGAAGCTATTTAGTCTTATGCACTAGCACATTTCCCTTTTACAAATGTCTTTCTGTATAATGTCTTGTAATTAAAACAGGAAATCATTGAGTAACTGTAAGATGAATAAGAGCACTTAAACTGAAAAGAAAATTACCTTCCGAGAAATTATATTCACAATTTTTTTTGCTTCACATTATAATGTTGGTAATGATAGTAACAGATATATCTACTCTTATCTGTATCATTGTTCTGCTTATGTTTTCTGAAATAAAAAATCATTTTTAGTAATATCAAAAATAAATGGACAGAAAATGGGAAGTGCCTAATTATGAAAAATATTCTGTGTCACAACAGAGTAGCAATTAAATTGAAACTTCAATATAATTATCAATAACAGTAAAATCTGGAGCAGTGCCAGGGACATAAAGTTGGTGCTCAGCCTTTGCTTGGTTGCTAGGAGCACAGTGAAAGTATAAAGCTTAGAGAAAGGAATGTCTAATATAATAAAGTAACAGAAGGTAGCATAAATCATTATGAAAGCAGTTCATATTGACATTATTTTATTTAAATTGGGTTGAAAGTAGACATTTAATTGTACAAAAGCAGTAAATTAATATTTCTTCTGAAAAATAACTATACGTTTTCTGAGAGGAAATGGAAAATTTGTGTTTCGAACATGAGCCTAATACATATTTGGAATCTTTCAAGCAAAAAAATCTTTAAATGTTTGTTTCTGTTGGCATCAAAATGCATTTTCACTAATACGATTAAAAGAACTAAAGGGCAAAATACTTGGCAGATTTTGCTGTTGAGGTAATTAGGTGCAGGAAGGAACATGCATACTTTTTCCATCAAGCTCTATAACATCCTGGTGTGAAGGTCTTTTTAAAGAAAAAAAATGCTTGCTGCTGTTAGAAGTAGATTGTGGTGGTTAGCTATAGCCATTATAATCTGATGGTTCTGAAACAAGCAGACAAAGAGCAACTTATATTTCTGTATTTCTCTCTTCTTTCTGTAAGTAGTGCTTCATCTGAAAGGGTTTGTCAGGAAGTCTTGCTTTTAGCATTTTTTATCTTGAATTACATATTAAAAATGGTTGTACTAATTTAGAAAGCTGCATAGATTCACCGCGTTTGACATTTCATGCATCTCTTACTGACAAAGACAATTTGGAGAATATGCTGTTCAGCATGAATGCCAAACCTTGCCAATCCCCCCCTCTACCCCAAACCCCCCAATAAAAGAAACTATGTGGATTATATCCATAGATATACAGTTAGTGTTCTCCAAGCATGGGTGGAACCTCACATTGTAATTACAGTTTCTTTATAGAAACCTGTTTTGAACTTGAATTATATATAAATAAATGAAATATTGACATTGAAAGAGGTTGTTAAAACATGTAATTATGATATAAGCATGGGATTAGTATAATTTCAGTTGAGCTTTACAAGCAATGTACTCTTTGTATTATCTTTTTCTATGTACAGAGCTTGTTGAAGGTAAAACGACTTTCAGTAATTTAGCATCTTCTATTCTGTAAGCTCATAATGAAATATTTTTTAAATTACATTATTTTTCCTTGTTTTAATAGAAAGTGAGAAGCTTGGTTAACATTTCAGCTTCTAATAACTGGAAACTTTATGATAATTTTAATTTAGATAAAATTCAGCAATATACGCAACCACAATCAAATGGTATTTTCTGTATTTTGTTACAGTAAAAATCATCTAGGGGGGAGGTCTGTATTTTGCTACTTTGATTTTCTTTCTCATGTGGGTGCGGTTGAGAGAAGTCTTTGTTCCAGGAACACTCTGTTTGTCTTTCACTAAACAAATATGCAGTTTATCCATTCTTTATTCTTTCTTAGATTTATCTGTTCAGCCTATTGTGAACAGGCAAAGAAAAAATGAATTATAAAGCATTTATTGGAATCACTTATTGCATGGCTAACTTTGCATACAGGTTTGTTTACACCGTTATGGATTGCAATAAGAAGCAAAAAAATAGCTAAAGCAACAAATATGTAGACGAATGATCCTGCAAATAGTGATCTGGCTTTAGTTTATGACATTGGCTTAAGATAAAATGTCATTCATCAAACACAGAATAGTATATAGAATTCTGTCTAGTGATTTATGACACATCTTAGTGGAAACAAATGGTTTGTTACAAAGGCTCATGGGAGACACATTTATATGCACCTTGGTACAAAGGCTGACCACATCCTGGCATAAGAAATGTGCTGCCTGATCAACAGAATCAATTTACCAATGCATACATGAAGGTACAAGCAGTAAGTAACAAGCATACAGTAGAGCTGAGGGATGGATCATAAGCTTGTTTCTCCCTTGAATGGTTCCGGTCTCTGATCCAGTTTCAGGATTTCTTACTAATGAAGAGAGAATTATACACACTCACATGTATAGCAAAGAGTTATTTCACAATCAAATGTGATCGAGAGGGTCATGGGATAGATACTTGGTAAAAATATTTTGACCACATCCTAGTTGACCTAAAGAAGTTTGGCTGCAGTAACTCAGCCATTCCTAGAAAAATATTTAAATAATGTTTACTAAAAGATATAATCCATATACATTGTGAAAGGGATTGTTTTGCCTTCTGTTTAAACTGGACGGACAGGGGAAGTCTCAATACTTATCAAACTGACTGCTTTCAAGAACTGTTGTGAAAATAGTACTTTCAGTTCAACATTTTATATTTATTTTCCAAATAATACTTAAATTTATAACTCTGAAATTTCAAAGATGGTCTAGGTATGGTGGTATACAATTTTCCCATTGATACTTTAAGAGAGCACATTTTGTCATTTAAAAAATATTCTGTATATTGTTTCTCTGTTTTCAAGGATCAATTAAAATTAATATTACCTCTTAACATGGTACGACACTGAAATTAAAAAGGATTTTTGCCTTTGACTTTGGTTAGGCCAGGATTTCAGCCAACATTCTTTCCAATTATTTGAAGTGTAATCCTACTTTAAGAGGAAGAAAGGTTATTAAAATATTGGTAGTGGAATTAAATATTTGATTATAGTATCTTTGACAGAAATAGAGACTAGGTTACTTAGTAATCAGGCAATAGCCTAGCAAGTGTAAACTACAGACCTATACATACCTCCATAGATGTGCAGAGAAAAATTAATCTAGGTACCCAACATGAGGATCTAAATGAACACAAATAGAAATACAGAATCTCAGTTTTGGCCTGATACCCTGATATCAGGGCTGATAAAAGTCATGCTACCACCTTCTCTTGTTGTTATGTTCTGTCTTCTGCTGTCACATTTCCCATTGGTAATCATATGATGAAATTTTGTTGTGATATTTCAAAATTAGATGCCTTTATTTTATATTGTTTAAAACTCAACAGAATAAAAGGAAGTTTTTTCTGGATTTTTTTGGATTTGCAGTTGGGAAGCCATTTAAAAGTTCATTTGACTGTAGTATACTATGTATTTTGTCGTGTGTTGCCTATTCACACAAGAATTTCTGTCTGGGATTGCTTAGGGTCATAAACATTGCCAGAGTGGAATCAGTCTATGATCTATCTACTCCAGTATCCTCTCTCTGATAGTGGTTACTATTAGATACTTTAAAGGAAAGGCCAAATAATCATTACCTTCCCTCTAACCCCCACCCCCCCAAACAGCAGTGAAAAAACCCTCTCCTCTCCAGACATACGGAGTGTATAATTATCATGAAAAAAAATTAAATAGTGTGCAGTCTAGTTTAGTAAAGTGACATTGGAAACTGAAGATTAACTATCATGAAATCTTTCTATTAAAGCATTTATGGCAGACTTCATGAAATAGAGAGGCCACTTTATGTAAGCTAGAGTAGGGATCAACAACCTACAGCCCATGGGCAGGATCTGGCATGAGGAACCATAAAATCCAGCTCACAGACATAGGGTGTTGGTGGCATTTGATGGTGGGGGGCTTTGGCAGCAGTTGCTTTCCCTGACTGCTGTAAGGAAAAGTGTTGGGTGTGGGCACTTTCCTCATACTGTTGCAGAGAAAAATGATGGAAGTGGTTGAGTCCTCCCACTCTCCAACCAACCCACCAGCATCTAACACAAACAGGGTCAGTCCAGCCTGCAGCCTTAAAATGTTGCTGACCACTGAGCTAGAGCATAGATATTGTCATCCTTACTTAAGCTGTAGTACCTTACTGCAAGGGAGTAAAATTAGGGCTCTTGTGAATAATGGTGGTAGAAATGGCCTGAAGTCTGTAAAACAAAGGTGTCTTAATACGTCATTCTGAGGGTTTTTTGTTTGGTCTTCCCTGCTTTTGAAAAATACTTTCTTATTGAAGATAAAATTTTAATGAGCAGACTTGATCCTGCTCCAGTTTAAGTCAATGGGACTTTGCTATTGACTTAATTGAAAACAAGATAAGGCCCCCAAATTGTTTACTATGTTTCTTCCTATTGAGCTACAACTTCATTTGTACTGTTTATATTACCCCTGGGACAAAATAGAATGTACTTTAAAGGGTTTTTTTGGTTTTTTTGCAGGTGAAGAAGATGAAGATTCAAGTCTCTTGATCCTTAGTTATCCACAATACTGTCGATATCGTTCCATGCTAAAGCGTCTTCAAGACAAGCCATCCTCAGTATTAACAGACCAGTTTGTTTTAGCTCTTGGTGGCATTGCAGTAACAAGCAAGAGCCCCCAAATCTTTTACTGTCGGGATACATTTGATCACCCAACTCTTATAGAAAATGAAAGCATATGTGATGAATTTGGTGAGTCATTTTACAGTTACCTGCTTTTTATTGCAAAAACAGAAAGTTGGGGTTTTTTTGCCCCATTTTAGTGTTTACATATTTACAAATGAAAAATGTTGATAATGTGAACCGTGTAAAGAGCAATGCTATTTACATTTAAAGTGCTAAATTAGCAAATGTGCTTTCCACCATCAAGAGTTCTGAGACTGAAGGCTGATGTAATGGGCTTCTAGGTAGTTATAATCTCCATTTTACAACTTCTGTTTATCAGATCCAAAGTTGCTGTTATTTGGGTGGAGTAAATAGCACAATTATTCAGCGTAAGTTAAAGGGACATATATTAACATTTGAAATTACTTGCCTTAATATTTAATCTATAATTTAGGCCTTTCCTTAAGGACTCAAGCTTTATGAATTTTGCTTTGTGTTTGTTTGTTTGTTTTTAAAGTGATCATTGCTGTAGCCTACTAAGCAGTGCAAAACAGAATTCTAAGATTTGCTATGAGACCCTGTGGCAGCCCACCTTCAGGTGCTTGCCACTTTAAGGGCTAAGTCAGGCAGCCAGCAGGTGCCTGATTGCAGCAGCCATTTTAGAATACAGGCTAGCTATATAAAGACAGCAGTTTGCTGCTGGGAGCAGGTAGAGACATAGAACATCTAGCAGGTAAGACCAAGTGGTTCTTGGTCCTGGGCATGATCTAAAACTGCACCCTACCAGGGAAGGGTGGCCTGGTAGGGCTCCTAATGGTGTGGAAGCTCCCAAGAAATGCCAGGCCAGTTACTGCTCCAGTGAAAGGCGGGTAGGGGTGCCTTAACCCCAGCCCCCACCATCTGGTGAGTGATTCTGAGAGCTGTGGGAGTAGTGGGGCCAGGTATGCTCATGTGTAGGCAAC